AGCATGTAAACAATACTAGCATGTAAACAAACTAGCATGTATAAATATGACCATCGAATGAGCGAAATAAAGCCAAGTAGACTTTAGGTAGCATTTACTGAAAAATCCGACTCGAAGCATTTAAACTCTTATTTGTGTTTACTATTTTTATCGATTGTTTTCATGCCCATACCTTGCTTACATGACTATATAAACCAGAGTTCAGCTAGAAAGATTGGGAAAGTTCTAGCAATCACAAGAGTTTCAGTATAGGATGTTCAGTGTAAAGTTAGAAAGCGAAATCAGATTGGTTAAATCATGACACACCTCAAGAGTTTAAATCCACATTATGCAAAGTTTACCTATCTTTGGCGACAGACTTGCTGGTTAGCCCATGACAATATATTTTATATTTATTATTTATTAATATTTTAAATAAAATAGAAAATTAATGAAAAAGTATACAATTTTTTTTTGCCTTTTAATATTTAAAAGTCCTTCATACTCTCTTTTTTTTTATTACAAGAGTCTTAAGAAAATTAAAGAAGCATACTGATGCATTGAGATAAAACTTTTGACTAAAAAAAAACAAGTTTAGAAACTTTACTCTTTTTTTTAATTGCATAAGAGAAGGCTTATAGCAGTTATTTCTTTATAAATTTTTCTTAGAATTTTTTCTAATTTTTTTTCAATATATAAATCTTTTAAATAATTATTTTTTCTGTTTAAAAATCTTTTTTTTATTTAAAAAAATCAGACTTTACATCAAAATTGTCTATATTGTTAACTTAAAGCATCAACAATATATTCAATATTCACTTTTTACTATTGTTTAATATACTCTGCTATACTATCAAAAACCAAAAATTTTCATTCAAAAATTTTTTATCAACAAATTATAATCAGTTTACTTTTTTAATTGTTTAACATTTTAAACTTAACCAATTAAACATTATCAATTTTTTAAATATATATATATAACTAAAATATTACACTTTAATTGATATAAACAAAATCTTTATAGCAATAATAATTATAATTCCAAAAATTGGAATTGAACAGAATTGCAAGGAATTGCATGAGGTTCGGAACATTATTAAAAATGATGGTGGGGTATATCCTATCTATTAAATTTAATATAAATTTAAGAATCAAATACAGAATCGAAGAGAATTATTAGGATCCTTAATGATAATCAAAACAAAATTATATTACTAAGAAACAAATCAATTACAAATCATATTATTACAATAACAATATTATCACTACAATTAATTATCTATTAAAGAAATATATTATCAACACTATTGTATACTTTGGACAATAGCTTGACTATTTCTGAAAGTGTAACTATTATACTTTAGTTAAATGAAACTACTAGTATGATAAGTCTAATAATTTTATCCAAAATATTCTTAACTTTGCAATTAGTTTTTTTGTATTTATTTTTTTGTTTAGTATTTTTTTTTTCTTCAATTTTCAATTTTTTATAGTCTTATATATAAACCTAAATAAATAAGTATACTGCTCGATACTATTTTGGATATATATCAGTTTTAATATTTTTTTTTATATTGCTTAAATAATTTTTATAAGCAAGCTAACATTAAACCTATTGATCAATTGGTTATATAAAAGATATTGTTGCTTTCTGTATATAAAATAATTTAAAAATTTTATAATAATAAAAAGATAATATTTATTTATTAAAAAAAAAATTAGTAAAATTTTGTAATGATAATTATAAAGAAATTGTAACTGATTTTAAAACAAATATTAACAGTACAAAAAAAAACAATAAAATATATAAAAATTTTGTAAGTTAATTTACTGTTTAAATATATAAAAATTAAATTAAAAATATTTTAATTACAAATTAGAAAAAATTTATTAACAAGCAAGTACTTTGCTAATACTTTTAAAGTTAGAACAATATATCTTGAATCTTTATATAGATACAATAAAAAAAAATAAATATAAATAAATATATGAAAAATTTAACTTTTTATCTTTCTATATTTAAGTAATTGATATTGTTTCTTGTTTTTCTTTTGTTATAAAAAAAAATAAAGAAATTATAATTTGTAACAAAAATACTGATAAAGTAATAATTACAGTATATCATAACTGAATTGGTTTTAATATTTTAGATATAATGCAAAGTACTGTATTAGAAATGTTCCAGTTATAATAAAAAGTTGCAAGAGCCAATAATATATTAAAATTAAATCAAGAAGTTTTAATAGCTGCTGGATATATATATATATTATTAATATATTTAATATATACTTAAATAATATTAATGATTATTTTTAGATATTTATTAACTAGAGAGTATAGTATTTTTACATATGTTTTTAATATATCAAAAGAATTACATGAATCTAAATAACAATATTTGTATAAAAAAAAAGTGATAACAATGAATAATCTATTTTTAATTATATAATGGTGATTTTTTCTACCAATATAACTTTAAGTATAAAGCAAAAAATAATAGAATATGATCTTTTACAGTATAACAAGATAATAACAAATATAAAGTAGTTAATAAAGGTATCTCAATTTTTTACAATAATAAAAAAATTAAATTAAATTATCTTTTAAGTCTTTGTAAAGCATATGCAATCTGAAGATATAACAAATTTGCTTATATTAAGACTAATTTTTAAATTTATATAATTGCAGCAATTTGTTTGAAAGGTATATGACTTTCTGACAACCTAAAATTTATATGCTGAGAAGGAGATTTTAATGGAAGCAAATTTTATATAACTAAATGAAAAATAGAAATAGAAATGACAAATATTTTTAAAAATAATAAATATTTAAAAAATAAGAAATAATCTTTTTTGCTAGTTAGAACATGAGTTATATAATGCAATTGTTTTGCCAACAGAAGAAGTAACATATGGTTTATTTCAAAACTTGATCAAAAAAATTATAACCATAATAAAAAAATAAAAAGAAGACAATGAAAAAAAAATCTATGTAAAATATTAACATAATCAATTATAACAAGATTTATTTGTATTATATGTATTTAAAAATTGATAAAAAAAAATGATAGTTAAATTTTATTAAAAGAAACAAATTATATTGATAAATATTTTAATTTAGAAGAAAATATTTATAGCTGGCAATAAATTTTTATATTTTATTATATAATAAATTAATTAATATTATTTAAATTTATTTTTTATTTTTAAAAATACAAACTATATCAATTTGAATTAATTAATTAATTAAAAATTTAATGGCTTAAACCAATATACTGTATATAAATTTAAAAAATTAAATTAAATGATTTTTAACTATAGTAATTGAAAATTTAAATTTAAAATAAAATATTTAATAAAAACTATATTTATATAAATCAGATTGGTTTTGATTCAGTTTAAAAAAAATTAAAACCAATGATTTTCAGATTAAATCAATTTACAAAAAATTAAAACTAATGATTTTTAGATTGGATTGATTTAAAAAAAATAAATTGGATCAGTTTTGATTTTAGTTAAAATTGATTCAAATCGAACTATTATACTTTATATTATACTTTGATTTACTTATATATTTTTTATATTATCAATAATAATAAACTTATAATAATTTTATAAAAAAAAAAATAATATTATTATTATTATTATTTCTAATTAAATCATATATTAGTATATTTATTAATTTTTTTAAGTAAAAATACAATAACAATAATATAATATCAGTATTATACTATAATTAAATATTTCTTTGAACTATATAATATATTTATTAATAAGTTTTATAAATTTGTATATAATTCTTAAATTTTTAATATCAAAATTGTTATATTATTTACTAACTATTTTATTATAAGAATGTTGATTTATTAAGCTATTATTAATATAAATATTAATTAATTCAAATTTTTTAAATTTATTTAATTTTTTAAATTTATTTAATTTTTTAAATAAGATTATAAAATAAAAAAAAATTTTTTTAAAAGGACATTATATTAATCTAAACTAAAAAATTATTATTAACTTATATTTTAAACTGTTACCTCAATATAATTATTATGACTCTAAAAAATAAAACCCTTTCTAAATCAACTATTAGTTTAATGAAAATCTTTTATATCTAATAAAAAGGATCTTATAATATCTTGTTTTTTTTGCTATAAAAATAAATATAATAAAAATATAGTAAATGTATTTAGTTCTTTGTATTAGGCAGGTGATTGGTATTGAGACAATATTTTATAGTAACTCATAGTTTTGTAAACGCCGCATGATCTTTGCATAAATTAATCAATGTTCACCAGATTTACCAAGTTCCACGTCTCATACATGAAGTTCATAATGATAGCGATCCCAAGCACTTTTTACTGGCTTGGTGGCATAGTGAGTGGTGTGGGTCTTATTTACGGAATACAATACATATACAATCAAAGAGCGAAACGCGTCGATAAGTCGTCGAAAAGGGAGATTGATCACGAGAGTTCAAACTTAATAAACCTTCTTTACTCGATTGCTGACGATCAAGCGAGAAGAGGCATGCGTTCTCATGATAACTGCTTTATTCAAGTATTTTCAAAGATCTAACCAGAACCTGTTATCTTACATTCTACAGAAGGCTATGTCCACCGTAAGCATACGTATAGTTTTTATCATTATGACACAGGTTCTTTTCGTTCGTGTCATTGAACTTTGCATTATATTTCATTCGAATAACCAGGTGGAATAAAATGCAATAATTGTGACATGGTACTCCTTATGTTGCGACATTTTCATGCCAACGTCTTTTAAAATTTAGTTTTCATAAAGCCATCAATTAATCATAGAACCCGATTAGGGGAATCCGGTACAAGTGCGTCAATTGCTCCGACTATGATCTTTGTGAGGAATGTGAACAAAAAGACGATGCACATTATAAACTTCACACTTTCTTGAAGATAAAAATTCCCATTCCGTCATTGACTAATCCTAGACAAGCGCTACTCAGCGTATTTTACCCAGGTTGATATTTGATAAAAATTGGTCAATATCAATTAGCGGTTATTTAATTGGTAAAATTATTTAATCGTGTTAGGTGTGGGTCAGGTTTCGCGTGTCAGCGTGCATAAGCTACGAGATCTAGTGAAGGAAACTCGGTGTATGTACATTCAATCGAATTTTCATGAGTTTTTGCTTGATCAAAGAAAGACTAAAAGCTTTTATTTCCGTAAACAAAGTCAAAAAGACAGAAATTGACGCGCTTTATGATCAATTCATATCTTTGATGAGTGTTCAGGATGGTCAAGACGGGATAGATCGTTCTACATTCGGGTACTGCTTAGGACCGTTGGGTATCGAAAAGAATTTACTCACAGAACGATTGTGGAAATTCTTTGATAAGGATGGAGATGGACTAATTAGTTTCAGTGAGATGGTCTGTGGTCTTTCAGTGTTTTGCAAGGGAAGCGATGAAGATAAGATAAAATGTAATGACAATCGTATCTTGGACAGTTAAATTGCAAATACGTTAAGTATGATTTAACCATTTCGTAAACTCCAGGCGCGTTCATGGGTTATGATTTGGATGGCGATGGGTTGATTAGCAAAGATGAAATGCGTAAAATTTTTAAAGCATATATTGAACTTAATTATGCACTCACTAAGGATGTGTTATCGTCAATCTCGTCTATTGAGGAAATTGACATATCAGCGTCGGCGAATAGACCCTTGTCAACGTTGTTTGAAATACCTCCTGATAGTGAGATTCAACGTTCAAACGAGAAAACACCTGATGATGAGAATAATTCAACAATATCGTGGCAAGAGTCAAACTTACCGGTAATAGAGTTGTTGACTGAGGAAGCCCTCGAAGAGATAATCGATAAAATATTTAAAGATGTCAATACGTACAGCAACGGATTCATTTCGTATGAGGAGTTCAGAGAATACTCGCAGTCATTCGACATGTCGCTGGTAGATTGGTTTATTGCTTTAGGCAGGTTAGTGAAATGGGTTTTCCTTGTCTCCTTTAGTGATGATTTCGCACCTATAATAATCCGAATTCCAAATATTTCAGCATATTCTAAATTGTCAAATGGAGTGCCAGATACGAAAGCCGAGTCTATTTAATGTGGCAATCTATATTGTTAATCTGAACATTGGAAATTTCTGGCTTAATATCTACATTTTCTTCAAGAATAAGAAATATTGATGCATCTTTATACAAGTTTCTTAATATTGACAAATTCGACATTGAACATTGATATTTAAATTATTATTATTTCATATTAGAGTAATCAACTTAATTTTAAACATCAGACATCTCAATCAACTTTACAAAATTTTCAATGGATTTTGTTTAAATTACGAAATTGTACAAAATTTCAAATTTGCATTGTATTAGATTTTTTTTTTTTGAAATAACTTATTTTGAACTATTCTTTTTATTTCCCATTCTCTTGAATCTTTTCTCCAGCTTGATAATGTCTTGAGGCTTAACCTTGTTTCTATTCCTATTTTTAACGTTGGCTGTCTCATAATAATGTATGCCAATTTTGCGTTTATTTGTTTTCATGCGCGGTTCTTTTGTTTTTTTCTTTGACATTTCTTCCTCATCTTCCTCATTTCTTTTCCCTGTAAATCGAAATATATATATATATATATAAAGTTATAAATTATTCCTAGAATTGTCTAAAACATTCAGTAATTAATAATACATACTTTTTCCTTTACCACGTATTCCTTTACTGCATGACTTAGTGTTTTCTACAGATATCTTGTTAACGGTTTGATCATGGGTATCTTCATCACTAGTTTCTTCATTCGATTCAACTACGCTATTTTGCACATCTTCATCCGAGTCTTCATGAAGGTCACTTGCAGAATCAGGGATTTGTTTTTCGAGTCCCTTATCAACTTCCTTAATGAGGCCTTCAGCTTCGTCATCGTCACATTCATTTCCGGCCTTGTTGTTTGACTCATCCTGATGGTTTTCTTTCCCTACCACACTCTCGAATAATTCATCCCAACCTGGAGCTGAAGGTTCTTCTTCATCTTTCTCATGATCTACTATGATTTCAGAGTCACTTTCCTCAATAACATTATCAGCATCAAGATGTGCCATTGATGATTCAACCTCTTTTCTAAGATCATCCGGGAGAAAATCGGTAGTAACGTGGATATTATCAAAAACTTGCTCAACTCCCTTCACAGTTTTCTTCTTTTCCTAAGAAAAAATTGATTTGGGATCTGTCACTGGCCCGAAAAGTTGATTTACACTAAAATGTTTGATCGAATACCTCCGTGTCAACACTTTCTTTTTCTTGAATAACTTCTTCATTCTCATTTAAAGCTTGAGGCAAAGTAAAATATGGGATTTTTCCACGCAACCAATCATTTAGAATCATCTTTGACACCGTTGTAATATCGGGTTCACCTTTTTTTAATAGTTTTCCATATTTCCGTGCGATTTGACCAAGAAAATCCAGATGATCGTCCCACTCGCGTATATTGTAAGTACGTTGTAAATATTCTTTGCGAACTCTTTCTAAGATCCGAGGAATAAATTCGTCTGGAGTCTTTAGATTCTCTATTCGAACCTACTCAATGAAAGGCGACTTATTATTTGAGGAGAAATATTGCAAGGTGATAAAAAATAAAATCAAATGCACATACAACTCCCTTCAGCACAATGTCCGTTTCAGTGTCATCCACCGATGGGGGCACGATTCCGGGACAATCAATAAGATATATTCGCTTCATCAAAGTAATGTATTGCCAAACCTATTTCGCCAAATTATAGGTTCATTAAAGAACAATCACAGATTATAACATACAAAAAGGTTTACCTTTGTTTCACCAGGAATGGGCGCCACGTTACAGACTTTCTTTTTCCTTAAAGTATTTATTATAGAACTCTTGCCCGTGTTTGGATAGCCGATGAACCCAACGCTGATTTGTTTTTTATCGGAATGAAGACTCGAGAATTGTCGTAACAGTTGAATTAACGAACCTTTACCAAAGGAATTAGTAATGCTAGCATGGAACGCTAAAGTCGGATAATCTTTAGACAGAAGCCCAACCCATTTTGCCTGAATTCGCAAATAGATATTAGAGAATTCATCGAAAAAAAATGTATGATTCGATACTATGAAAGACAATAATCGAGGTGGTTTGCTTTCAACTCCTTCGAAACAAGTTACACGCTCTATTAGAAGTAGCTCAGAACGAGCTAATTCAAGTCGAGCATAAATTAATCAATATGCCATAATCTTAACGGATCCCTTCCACGGCCTTATAATCAAAAGGAACCCTGACTTATTATGGCTACATGAACTCTTGTGCTAATCACAATGTTCACATGATTCTATGTATATAAATTCATTTTTTTTTAAAAAAAAACACTTACTGTGACCCAAGTGGGGACGAGATCGCATTTATTCAATAAAAATATCAAATGCTTGTGAGGAGCATCCTTTTTAATGTGCTGTTCCACATTCTTGCAACGTGTTCCGATCGGATCACGTGCATCCAACACATGGATTACAACATCAGAGGAATCGATAACCTGGAACCAAAAAACCACTTATGAACTTGATGAATCACTGAATCAACTTTTCACATAGGCACAAATTCATAAACTACCCTTAGATACTCACCTTATACAATTCGT